TTGTTGTCACTGTCTAATCCAGCTCCTCTGCTTATATTTTTGATGATTTTAGTCTTTCTCGGGTAAATTTAAATTAAAACTTACAGACAGGTTGAGCAGATTGATCATCAGGAACAAAAACAACAAAAAAATTGCAAAACTGAAACAGAAACTAGAGGCAAAGCAGAGGAAAATACAGAAACTAAAATCCCACGACATGGGGATGGAGACGTGGAAAAGAGAGTAGTACAAAAAAGACGAGTTTGTATTGCTTCATTAAACTAAATTTTGTCCTCTTCATTTTTAAGATATTTGATATCCTTTTTTGAATTATTATCAACTAACGCATTATAGTGTTTTATTTGCACCATCGAAGTAAGCAGCTTATCTTCTAAAAACATTGGGTGAGTTGTAAAAAATCCAAACAAGTTTTGTAAATGGCCAATTTGTTCAAGTTATCAGATTTTTCAAAGCTCAATTAATGATTTTACATTTTAGATTTTCTTTTTTTGTCTTTATTTTGACAGAGTTTTTAGTAAATTACGTTGCTTTCTTTTGGCCAGATATCAGTAAAATACGTTGCTTTAATTTGGCTCCAAATCTGTTGTATAAGAAAATGACTTTAAGGCAGATTTGAAGTAACTCGGTCGTTATTCTTGATACTTGATTGTAATTATGTTGTTGTTAGGTAATTCAAGATTTTCATAAAACTCGGATGCCTTGAAACAATCATTTAATATTTAACGAATTATTTCAAAAAAATAAGTTTCAGAATTTAGTAATGTTTAAACTTCGGGTTTTTTTGCTAGTAGAAATTTACTACAAAAATTAGAAATTTAAGGGATAGTTTCCGGGTTGGTTGATGCCAAAAGTCAAAAAAGATAATCAGTTTAATTACAACTAAATTTCAACAATTGGACTATATTTGTGGGTTAAGAAACTTTTCATTTAAAAAACTCAGTAAGACTAATCAAATAATTTGCAGACATTTTTTTGCCGTGTGAGTCGAGGTTTTCGTACCCTTTTTTTCTCAGGGATTCGACCCCCTGCCGACCCAAAGGGTCCCCCCTTTGGTACCTTTTAAGAAATCCATTTTTGACCGACCGACCCTAAAATTTTTCTAAAGGCGCTTTTGGCGCCAAAATATACTAATTTCGAGGGGGGAGCGCGCGCCGAAAAAACGCGATTATTTGGTCAAAATTTTCCAAAAACTGCCTAAAAACGCTTTTTTTTTGGATTTTTTCAAAATTTTGCCTGCGGCGCTGAAAATTTGCCCAAAATATCTATTCGGTCGACCTAAAAAAAAGGCCGACATTTCGAATTTTTTTTGAAAATCCGCCCCCCCCCCCTCCCTCGAGAAAATCCTAGATCCACCCCTGGTAGTGATGCCAAATATAAATGTTCCATGTCTATCGAACCCCTTGTTGTCTCCGAGCGAAGTGCAAAGGCAATGGAGCCTATACTGTTACTCGACTGTTATTTTTCGACTTTTTGCAAACTTGGAGGTGAAGCTGTCTTTATTGTTTGTCAGTTCCCTTTAGTTTAGCATAGCTTAGAGTATTTAAACTTCGACAATAAAAACAAATTTTGTCAATAAAGTGCAGTTTTTGGTCTTCCGTTGAACTCAAATGAACTAAGTTCTCGAAATAATCATTGAGTTGCTTATTATCAGCAAAATTTGGTTATCAGCAAAATGAGTTGGTGTGACTCGCCATATGTTAGGCAAAAATTCAGTTGGCATTATTTTGAAAGATTTGGCGAAAATTAGTGGGACTAATAACTGTCAAAGTAACACTCCCGAAATAAAAAAAGGCTGTCCCCTCAGGAATTCGGCTGATAAAGTTTCCCAGAACTAAAACAACCGAGACTGGAACAGAAAGAAAACCATCGTAGGGTGGCTGCGGAAGGCTTCACTAAAAGGAAAAAAGAGATTTGTGCCATTATGAAAATAAACACCCAGAGGAAAGACAAATAATGCAGTAAAAGAGGACGAATTAGATCAAAATGAAAAAGTAAATTGGAAAGGCGTTTTGAACCGCTCAGCAGCAAACTGAAAACTTGGAGGTAATTTTGGATCATATAATTTGTTCCCATTGTGTACAAAACATTTTGGGCCGAACAATATCCTGTCAGGGATAGGTTTAACGACAATTACTGGCTGACGTAAAAATTTTTGTTCTCAGACCTCAAAACTGTGTGCTCCGTGAGAAATAGAGTCCATATAAAGCGCCCATAGTGAAATTGAGAAACAAAAAACCATCAGACATCGGAGTTGAATTGTTAATATTTATCTTAGCATTAATATCGTTATGATCTCGTTCAACAAAGGTTGGACTTATCTGGGATGATGGTGATTAAAGCTTATCCATGAGGGTTTTTATTGTAGGCTTATTTCAATTTGTGAGACTTCAATGAAAACTTCAGTTTCACAGCATGAGAAAACTTTTTTTGAGAAGTTTTGATTTTTCAATTTATTTTTTGTCGTTAGCAAATTGACCGGGAAAACTGGAATGAAATAACCTGAAAACCAACGATCTTGTATCAAACTAATTGCATTTTCTCAAATCAATTATTGGAAAATATGTTCAGTCACTATGTAAAAGACCAGAGCTGATTTAAATTATCCGGACAAAACTAAAAAAGTCGAAGTTTGAAACAAGTTTTTTTCAAAATGAGTTGAACTAGCTAAAAAAGATGGCGACAAAACTTGCTTAAAATTTTAGCATGAATGTTATGATGCAAATTATTTTGCAAAAAAATAGATCCCAAAACCACAGATTTTAGATTATTAACAATTAAAAATTTTACTAAAACTACTGATTTAATTGTTGATAAAATTATAGCAAGTTATTTCTATTTTCTCTAAAGATTTTAGGAAGAATATTTTTTTAAAAAATGGTATTTTTTATAGTAAAGTTTACAGTATTTAGCTATATAACGAAAATTATTTTATTATTTTTGAATTTGAAAGATTATTTGTTCCTTATACTTTGTTTGTCTGTATAAAATATTTTTTCGTATAGTTTCTATGAATAACTGAATTAGTAGTTTTATAGTACTTTTTGATTGACTAAAAAACCTATAATGATCGTTTTGGGGTAATATTTTGAAGAAAAATGCAAATAATAAATCTGCTATCTTTCTAAGCAAGTTTTGATGTGATCATTTTTCACATAAAATTCGCCCAATTTGAGAAAAATGCGTTTTAAAGTTCAACTTAGTTAGTTTTTTCGGAATAATTTAAATGAGCACTGTATATCGGTAATTTTTTTTGTTCACTCATTTGTACAACTGTAAGATAACTGTTTTCAGCGGATGACAAGAATTTAAACGGAAAACGTATCAGACGGCTCCAATATATTTAAATTTAGAAAAAAATTGCGACACTATCATTTGGGACAAAAATCGAAAAGCTAACAAAACTTAAACAAAACTTAAACCCAAAATCGAAATTCCACAATTTAAACAAGAGTAAGTTATCTAATCTCATCGCATATGCAAATTTGTGTTATTAATGAAATAAGAAATTAAATTCAAGCTTTCAAAACAATTTGATAAGCCTAAAATATGCAATGACAACATGTGAAAAAATGATTTGGCCTTCAAAAAGCTCGATCGAAAGTTGATTGTGGTCAGTAAAAAAAATTTCAGACACGATAACCTTACAATTACGCGTAAAGTTCCATTATTGTTGTTTTAAAATCATTTTTTGTTCTAGTCACGTCTAATTTGCCTCTCGCCTGATTTTCTAGGACTTATTTTTTGTCTCGTCTAATTTTAAGTTTTTCTGCACAAGTTTTTTCATAGCAAACAGTATATTCAATTTTTCACATGAATCATTGTATAGTTTAGGCATTTGAAAGCTTTTTCTGATATAAAAATTGGATTTAAGATTTAGAAATTACTGAAAACACTTTTTTTTATTTGCAATTGGGTTATATACTTTTCTTGTGATTGTGAAATTTTGTTTTAAGTCATTAGTTTTGTTAGTTTTTCACTTTTTGTCCAAAATGTTCCTGCAAAACATAATCTCTATATTCCATTTTATTGAAGCCCTCTAATTTGCTTTCCGCTTAGGTTCCTATCACCCGTTTCCAGCATTTAAAACTTTTTTATATGTTTTATTATGTTTTATTATGTTCAACACACTTGTCAGCACATCACCGTTTCCAGCACATTCGTAACATTTTTAACTACGTGCACAGCAACCAAATTTTATTGTTTCAACGCGTATTTTTATGTTTCTATCTTCGAGGAAAAAAATTGGGACTACGATACAGAATTTCAACAAAACTTAAGTTTCCTATTTTTCAATAATTTCTTTTTTCAATTTTTTAAGGTGAGATTACTGCTTAGACCTCTCTGCGCTACTTGCTGTTTTTATGCTTAATGGCTTTATGACTTTTGAAACACGCATAGCCGGAAGTAAAGAAAACATCAAGCAGCGCAGAATGCTCGAAGTAGCGCAATAAATAAAGTTTCAATTGAGCCTAAAGAGTCTAAAGACAACCTAATGCATAAAATAAGACATAATTATTTGATCGATTGCGATTACTTTAACAAAGCATTGAAGCAGCAAAGGTTTGATAAAAAAGCATTGAAATTTTTAGATTAAAATTATTGATCATAAAGTGTACATCCGAAAAAAATCATAGAAAAAATTTGAAGTCTGAAATTTTTCTTTCGAATATATTCCTTAAAAAACATCTTAACAAGATGTAAGAAGAGTGAACTATCACAGTTCAAAATTTTTGTTTTTTATATTCATTTTTAATGGATAAATAGTTATCCAATCAGGTCTAGATAATATAGTTACTGATAGAAATTTCTCAGCGGCGCTTCAAAAGATTGAATAACCTTCTGCGCTTGCTCAGGTTGGTGCTCTTTCATTTATAAGTTTTCTTTATTATTGGATTATTGCACAATTTTTTATTACTATCAGGTAACCTTGCCACAAAAAAATTAAACGAGTAAACGATTTTGTTGATTTTCTGGACTTGAAAAAGTTCAGTTAGACTAACCTAGCACCTGTTGAATGCAGTGACTGGCGTCCTGTTCACAATAGCTCTCCCTGGCTACTATGTCATCAAACAGCTCCCCACCCTGGATCAGGTCAAACACCATGTAATACCTCTTGTCCTCATGTGAAGTGAAATGCAGCCTCACAATCGAATGGTGTTTCAGCATACGACATATCCTCGCCTCACGGTCCAATTTCTCCTTCTGTTTCGCATTCAGTTTCTCCGTGTTGATGATTTTTGCTGCGTAGTCTTTGCTTTCGGTTAAATGAACACATCGGTGCACTTTGCTGAAGGCGCCCTGTCCTATTTTCTCACACAGATCGTACGTGTCGGCGAAATGAGGCATGGTCCTGCCAACAGAAATGCAAATTCTTTCTGGGTATTTCGAATTTCGAAATAAGCTATATTATCAAAATTACTTTAAAAAATTACTTTGTGTTCCTCTATATCAATTTCTTATCTCTAATAGACAAAACTGTAAGATGTTTTTATAATTGAAAGGATTGAACTGCGTGAAAACTTTCTCCGGCTGTAACTTACTTTTCCTGTCAGCAATCAATTTCTTTTTCAACTGGTGTAAATGGCAACAAAAAGCAAAGAAAAAAGGCGAAGAGAGCAATTAAAATTTAGGCGATAGAAACTGACTTTTAAAAACTGACTTTTTAAAAACCCCGCTGCTGAAAAACTGCATTTACGGCAACTTCAATATGGGTATGCTTTTAGTTAGCGACTTAAGTGTTGCTTTATTTTATGCTAAGGAATTTGGAAATGACTTTAGTTTTTCAGGTTCCGGTTGAAAAGACGTAAATTACCGGTTAGAGGCAAAAGCGAAACGGTTTTCTTGATTTTACGACTAAATGGGATTAAAGAAGGGTGGTAATCAATTTCCAGGCCACAAAAATACAAGAATTGATAATGGTTACAAATGAAAAATCCCCTCTTAAGTCATTATTTTATTATTTATCTTCTTCTGTTTCGCCGCAAGTCTGTTACTTAAAGAGATATAGTAGTAGTGTCTATTATCACAAGAAAGTAGATTTCTAAAAAAAAGTGGAGTTTGGAAATTTCAAGTTGAAAATAAGGTAAGGGTGGGCAGCAGAGGTAATAAAATGACTAATAAATTGAACTCATAAAATTTTTCAAATTACCAGGCTGTAGCTGCTCTTGTATTGCGATACAAGAAGGCGCTTATACCCTTCGAACGGATAAAATCTGGAACATATCAGCAAATTGATCTGTTTTCATATTATTCAGACTAGATGGTATTAGTATAATACGGTGTGTATCAAAACTGACCCTGTTATAAAAAAAATCTACTCACTACAGTTTTTTACATTACGTCACAAATACTAGGTGCACTAAAGATGTGTAATCACTGCATGTAGAACAAGACCTCAGCTATATGCTATTACGCAATAAGGGTATGAAATCTTCTGCTCGATGATGGATTTATTATGTAATGGAATGAGAGGCTGCTACGTAGTGGACTTATATGCGTAGTTCGAATCCCACATTTGAATCCCAAGGACCCTCGAGGCTGAAAAAGAACGGTTCGTGCGAGGGGTAAGAAAGAGGTGGGTAATTCAATATAAAGAACAAAACCCCAATTTTGCAAGGATTGTGCTCCCAAAAAGAAGCGCAAATTTCGGCAATATTGGATTTTTAAGTCTCCTAACTGAGTGTTAAGCACAACATACCAATCAACTAAAATTCACGCAAATCTGAAAGAACAGCAAAAGAGCAGGGACGTTTGCTTTCATGTGAACAGGTCTTATCCTGATTTGGGGGGGGGGCACGAAAAGTAACGCCTATCTAATCAAAACCTCCAGGGACATTATTGCAGTTGTAGTTACACTTTTCATTATCTTCATATGGTTTTTATGAGCCGATTTATGCGCCCTGATTTTCGATTAAGACGCATTTTCGATAGTTTTCCAAAATCATCATAACAAACAAAAACTCAAACAAGGGCATCCGATTGCGAGACAATCTATCAACAAAAAAAATGTAAAAAAAAATAGCAAAAAATCTTACGTTACGTCACAAATACTAGGTGGACTAAAGATGTGTAATCACTGCATGTAGAACAATACCTCAGTCATATGCTATTACGCAAACTTAACTCTAAAGTAAGACAAAAAGTGAAAATGTCAATTCAGTTTCCCTCGACACAGAATTTTTATATTTCGATTGATATATTTTGATTGATTTTTATATTTCGAAGGATTTTGTTATGATGTTTCACTCAAAACAAACTATCTGACGTTTATTTGTGGTACCTGATTTTGCGTGAAAATTATATCACCCAAGTAAAAAAAATTCCTCCCCATTTTGAGTTTGGATTAAAATTATATTTATTTCCCTTTAGCAATTGTGCCTTTTAACCAAGCATGCCTTTTCACCACCCTCCAATTAATTTATATCAGCGGGTGAATAAGCGCCCTGGGACAAAATATTCATTTTGTTATGAACTAATACTTGATGAGGGAAATTTTGGTAGCAGAGAATATGAAACTCAAAACAAAAGAGTTCGGCCAAATGAGATTAGACTTGCGGCCACTTAAAATGCTTCGTGCTTGCTAAGAGCTGAGAAAAAATCGGTGTCGCCTTTAGCATCGAAAAGTTATTCTTGAAGGACGATATTGATTCTGTTTGATCGTTTTCCTGCAGCAGTACCCTTTGCCAATGAATGAAAACTAGTAGGTAAAATTAGCCCAATTGAATCAACGGACGAAAACTTAAGTGTCTTACTATGTTATATTTATATCAATTTTCGATCTTCAAACAGACAATTTTGTGTTTCTTGAGTTAAGTACCCCAGGGTTTGCAAAAAATTGCAGAATAAAATATTCAAAACGTTGCTCTTGAAAATGCATTTCAAACCAATGATTGACAGTTACTGCGCGAATCGCGCAGAAGGGTTCAAATTTGTGTTTATATATACCATCAAATCAAAGAATCAACATTCCTTTCTAACCTGCTCTAGAATGATTAAAGAGCCATAGTTGCAAAGTAAAATAACGAAAAATAATCTTGACAATGAAAGCTAAAATTAATGCGCACCTTGCTAAGCTTAGATCTGAAGAGCAGAAAATTACAGACAGTGAGTCAGGGGGGATTTAGGAATTTCGAGAGGGGGGGGGGCTTTTTAAGTCGACAAAATGTATTTTCCGAGCGCTCCCACAACATTATAAAGACCTTATTTTGACAATAATTTATGCGCCGCAGGCAAAATGTTCAAAAACAGGACAAAAAGCCAAATTTGGGATCTTTTTGGAAGATTTTGACCAAAAAAAGTCACGTTTTTTGGGCAAGCGCTCCCTCTCAAAATTTGTTTAAACTGGCGCCAAAAGCGCTTTTTGAAAAATGTTTGGACAAGTCAACCGAGAAGGGATGTCGTATAAAAGAAACAAAGAGGGGACCCTTTGGGTGGCGAAGGGGCCCCCTTCTGCCCCGCCCCTGAATTGAGTCATCATTTTTGAAAAATCTTTTTGCGAAACAAATCTCGGCTGAAAGGACTGAATATCTAATATATCATTCGTATTAGTATAAATTGTATTTATGGTACCTAACTTTTATTGAGCAATGGACTATTTTCTAAGTTAAACAAGACTGCTCGTATCAGGGCGAAGCCCTGAAAGTTCCGACTGCCTTTTAAGGTCTATGGAGCATTAATAAGATGAAAAATTTCAATGTAATAAAAAAAAATTTTTGAAACAATTTGAGATTTTTTTTTAAAAAACATCCCCCCACACGTCATTTTAAGTACAAAGTGATAGATTTTGCGCCTATTAACAAATCAATTATGGCATATAAGCTTCCTTGAACCAATTTGGAACGATTTCTAAGACGGATTAAATCTCACTTACGCGTTAATAGCGCGAAATTTATCGCGCGTTAATTGTCCCAAATTGGCCAAAATGGCAATTTTTAAACCCCCATAACTTTACGAAAAATGATCACAGGTAAAATATCTTTTCAAATTCAAGCTCAGGACAACAATAGCTTTCGAATGATATAAAAAAATTCCGTCAAAAATGGCTAGTTAAAAAGTCGAAATTTGTCTGAAGAAAAAAAAAACCCACCCCGAGCATAAATATTCCGTTACTTTCGTAACGAAAGTCGGAACAATTATTGACCTTTCTTTTAATATGGGTTCAATTTGAAGAAACCAAAAAATATAATCATTTCGTCGAAGTGAACAGAGAGTCTGCTATAAATACTCTTCGCTTAAATACTTTGGTAATTCTATTTTCTTATTCTTGTAAGCCCCTGAATAGGTCATAACTTTCATCACTTTTAGGGGTGACATGGTCGGAACAAAAATATATTTTTTAGTATTTTGTTGCTATTTAATTTTGTCTTTTGTTGCCCGACTTTTAAATTAGATCGTGTAGTACATTTTTGGCCTGAGGAGAGAAGCAGGCGGACTCCAGTTCAAAATGCATACTTTTGGGCTGTTTATGACCCGATTTTGTTACCACGGGGAAATGGGCATTATTCAAAATGAAAGTAAAAAGGTGGGGAGAAAGGAATAAAATGTTTTTCAAACCTGCAGACATATGTTATATAAAAACAAAAATAATAACGATGTAAAACTACATATATCTATATAGTAAGTACAATTATATATTATCATGAAAATTATGCGGTATTTAAAGCATAATTTTTTTTTTAAAATTAAAAGTTCCTATTTTACATCAATTTTCACATTTGGCTTTCACATTTGTTTTTCAAGTTATCTGCAATTTTTTTGGCTAGCAAAATAAAATCGAAAGAATCTCCAACAAAACATTTTTAAAGAACAATTTTAGCATAAAGAACTTAAAAGTGCGTGAGAAACAATACCTTGCTGAAAAGAAGACTCAAAATAGAAAATTTCAGGCCCTTTTTTCTCGACACCGAGACATCTGAATCAAGACAAGGTGCAGATCTAGAATTTTCTCGAGGTGGGATTTTCAAAAAATTTTCGAAAATTTTGTCTACATTTTTATTTTTTTAGGTCGACCAAATTGATTTTTCTGAGCTCTCCCAAAGCACTACAAAGACCCTGTTTTGGCCAAATGTCTGTGCCTTTTTTCGGTTTTTTAAAATATCGCTTTTTTTCGGTGTGCGCTCCGGCCTTAAAATTAGTATGTATTGGCGCCAAAGGCGCCTTTAGAAAAATTTCAGGGTGGGTCAGCCAAAAATGGATATCTCAAAATAATACAAAGGGGGACCCTTTGGGTCGGCATGGGGTCGAATCCCTGTGGGGAAAGGCGTCCGCACCCCCTTCCCCTAAATCCGCCCCTGATCAAAACTGCAAGAGTTTTTTTCCTTATATCGATGTCACTCGACTTCATCTGTCATTTATGTTAACTGATTTTGCGTGAAAAATAAAATGCTTTAGGCCGAAAATACTCAATGAATGGTACAATTTAAAAAATGCTCAATTAATAACATTTTCACAAAAATTTGGCATTTTATTTTTTGATTTGAAAAAAAATTGAGTGATTAGTTTCAGACTTACCAAGATAATTTGAAAGTGAAAATAAATAATGTACTTCGGCAGAATGAAAGGCCGATAAATGATGGATTGAAAGTTGGTCTGTGTTTTATTCTTTAAGAATCAACTCTCCGGAGTAGACGCTATCTTTTGTTTTATTTTTCGAAAAACTATAACAAAAGAATGATCAATTAAACTTTAATGCGGAGCTGAGCTCTATTCTTTTCTACCTGTTTTCTAAATTGGCAAATAAAAGAACAGTTAAATGGCAAAATTTCCCTTTGGTAACAACATGGTATCAGGCTTGTGCGATAAAAGCTGAAGAAATGCTGAAGAAATTAAGTGTTTTTGTTCAAACCTCAGAATGGTAAATCAATGCGGAAACACCACTGGCGGTGTGTTACGTTTCTTTTATACCGACTTTTTAAACTACAAAGGTCGTAAAAGATTGCGAACTAAAAGACTAAATCTACCTGACTATATGCTATACAGAATTATGCAGAGAGGAAAAGCAAAAATAAAAGATTATAGCAGTATTTCTACAAAGCTTTCATGGAGAAAATTTTCACAAATCACAAAATAATTTATTGGTTCATTGCTCATTCCCTATTCTATCCGCTTT